ACATTAAGTCAGATCACTGGTCCCTCTGCCGCCATATTGTTGATTTCCAGCAGCCATGGATCATGTCCAGAAATGTGGGGCAAGCCCACCCTCAGCACTTCAGAAGGAAGCCTTACCCCCTATAAAGTATCCCGTTTTCAGACAAGATCTTAATTTGCCATCAGTGAGAAGGCAATTCACAGGTACTTAAAGCACCTTTTTAAAGAGAAGGGGGAGGGGAACATATTTCTTAAAGAGAAGATAAGTGGATTGTCAAATAGAAGTTTGGAGGCAAGTACTGGTAAATTCTGGGACTCTTTTTGCACAAATGACAGAAAGAAGGGTTGGGGAAAAACATATTCGAAAGAGGCCTTGTTGATGTTTCTTCCATTATGAATAAAATGAAATTATTTGAGGGAGAAGTGCTGTTTTATGTTTCTAAATCAGAAGTGAGGAACCTGTGGCCCTCCATGCAGTGCCATAATCCAAATTTCATGAGCCCCAAACAGCAAGGTCCATCATTAGGAATAAGATACTGAGTGGTGGGTAGTGGGGGACGAATGTGCCCAATTCTTATCCTAAATGCAGCCATTTTTCATTGGAAGCTGCTTGTTGATGACTGGAAAATATGGCAAAGAATATATAAAATGGTGGCATAACTTCTCACAAAGGAGTTCCTTAGTGAACCTACTCAGCTCTGAAAGTATTTTCTGTTTTTATTCCCAGCCGGTCATCGGGCTCCATTTACAAGATGGCAAGAGAGATACAGAGTAAAAGCCAGGCGTGCCAGTCTCAGAAGTGATGCTGAGGAATTCTTCTGAGGAACACTCAAGAAGATCTTTAATCAGGATCCTATTGTGCTGCTGTTCTCCACTACTGTTTCCTAGCAATCTTCTGTATCATGTAAACAATAAAGTATTACCAAGGTGCATGGGCAGGCATCCAGTATTTTCACTTACTCAAAAGTTAGTTAGTATAGCAGCTGAAATGCTTAGCCAAGAAGATCTGGGTTCAAATTCCAGCTTAGGGAGGATGAGGCCTACTTTCTTCACTTTCCTCAAGAAAATAGAAAGGCTTGTTTTCTTCATTTTTTTCTCTCAGTGGCAACATTTTCTGTTTTCCCCACTTGTGTTTTAATAGCCCCCAAATCACTTTCACTGTTTTCCCCCTAACCCAAGGTAGACAAATCTGAAGCCAATAAATGGCCTTACAAATGATAAAACTATATCTGTAGTCACCTGCCTACAGGGACCTGGAAACCAGTTTTGGACTTCCTCCCTTGATATGTGGGATTGGTTAATGCTCAAAAAGAAGCTAAAAGGGTCCTATCTGGAAGCATAAAAAGTTTGTTTACTGAGGAATAACTTGGCTTTCATACAGGACTGGCTGAGAAAGCCACCCCGAAACCATCTTGAAAGGGATCCCCTGCAGGCTGACCAGGGTGCAACAGGGCGGGTTGCAGCAATATGTCAGGTAGCAGTGAAGAGGGATGGCAGATGTTTGGAAACAACTATCTCAGAGTAATTCATTACAATTACGCTTCCAAGCCCAAACTTCTCCCTCAGAATTATTGCTAGGGATTAATTTTTTTAGAAGTCATATTTTGCCTTTGTTTCTTAAAAGTAACAAAATAGTTACATTCAGTTACTCTTAAACATACATCTGACTGCTACAAACTGTGAGCCTGTGATAGAAAAAAATAGTGTCCTGTCCGCCTCATTATTATCTCAACACTGAAATCTGAGCGTTCAGCCTGAAGCGTTCACGGCCTCTCCCAATTTGAAGAGACACTTGTCCAGCAGGCCGAGGCAAAGAGGCAGTCCCGAAACAAGCAAAACCAGGGAGCTGGACAGGGGACAGATTGGATTTGGCTTCAGTGTGGAAGGGAGTGTCACTCTCGAATTGGCTTTCTCTGCCACACTAGACGCTGTTCCAAGTCCTCCATACAGAGCACGTTACCATCGTCTCTCGAGACTGACGGATGCCTAATCTAAAATCTAATAAAAGCAGAACGTGAGGCAGGATCAGCAAGATCATGAACCAATGTGATACTCCTCCACTATGGCTGAGGCCACTCTCCAAGATTATAAAAACCATGTTTTGTAGTTACACTGCAAAAGTACTGATGTAATCCTCATTAAGTATAAATATATAAGCCCCCAAGAATCCCAATGGCAACTAATTAATTGCCAGCTGGAAGCTGCTGAATGTTATGCTATTTGCCTTCCACGTGCGAAAGAAAGGAACAGGACTTCATCAATGTAACTTAGGGCTCCATCACACGTGCCAAATGAATCATTTCATTTTCATCCTTCTTAGGAATTGAGACATTTTTACATGTGGTCCTGTATATATACTGTATCGCTGGGCCCATACCCATGGCTGTCAGTTCAATTGGTACAGTTTACAGTGGTGCCTCGCTTAACGGCAATAATCTGTTCCAGGAAAATCGATGTTAAGCGAAAACGGCGTAAAGTGAAAATAAAAAAACCATTGAAACGCATTGAAAACCGTTCAGTGTATTCCAATGGGCTAAAAACTCACCGTCCAGCGAAGATCCTCCGTACGGCAGCCATTTTCTGTGCCTGTATAGCAAGGAATCCATCCCTAAGCACAGCGGGGAGCCATTTTAAGCACCCGGTGGCCATTTTGAAACGCTGACAATTAGCTGTTTTTGATTGTCGAAAAGCGAAAATCAGTTCCTGAAGCAGGTAACTGATCATCGCTAAGCAAAATTCCCCCATTTAAAAGATCGTCGTGAAGCGGATTCATCGTAATGTGAGGTAATTGTAAAGCGGGCACGACTATATTGCTATTTTTACTGGTTCTGTAGGCTGCATGTGCCATCTCATATAAATCTCATCATTTGCCATCCTCTTGTTGGAGTCCCCGCTGCCCTAAAATTTGATTTAAAAAAAAATCATAAGTGATATATCATTATTTTCCTGTCACTTTTAACTGTTAGTCAATGTGCAACTCAGTAGTATATATCACCTGCAGCCCTTCTTTCTTTCCTTTTTAAATTTTCATTTCTTGATTCCTTTCTCGACTTTCCATTTTTCTCCCCCTTCCCCTCCTTCTCTCCCCCTTCTTTTCCTTTCTCCCCTTTACTCACTCATCCCCCTTTCCTTATTTTCCTGCATATTTCTCCCTCTCATTTCTTGGCTTTCATTTTTCTTTTCCTTTTTGAATACTGTTAGGAGGAGGAAGTGGGTTTTAAAAGACTTGCAAAGTATTGTGAAGTGCAGGTTTTCAAAAAAAAAAAAGACTGTGGAGACATTAATGCAACACCCCTTTCTTTCTCCCCTCAAACAACTCAAAGCAGGAAACATTCCTTTCTCTGCTCAAACCTTCTTTCCCCTTTCCTTCCTTAAACCCACAAGAGTTGTGGAGGGGAAGCTGTCTCCTCTTGAGCAATGCATTTGTGTTCTTTTTGTGGTGGCAGCTGCTGCTGCTACAAGCAATTTATCGATTTCCCTTTCATTTTTTTAAAAGAAAATGGGCACAGCATCCAAAACCCTGACCCCCTTTGCAAAGCAAATAGATCAAAAGCAATGTTCACACAAAGAAGCAACAAGGACTAAAGTGCTACATGATGATACATCTTAAAACAACCTTGCCGGTGATGTAGGAAAAACTCATTGGCTGGCCAAATGAATCAATCTTATTTGTGCATCATGTGAATGGGAATTTCTAAAATTATTTAAATAACAGCAGAACTGATATAAATGGGGTTCTTTCGGCACATGGGTTGAGTCCTTAATTATCATAAAAGGAATTAATTACAAGTAAATTCCCATTTGTAACTAGTTGCTTCCAAGCTCTGGGTAGGTGTTGGTAGATTTCAAACGCACAGGATATACTTGCTTGTTCTTTTTAGCAGAACCACAAGAACCACTAAATGGACTTAAACACAAAATGATGACTGAAGATTGGAGTCAATTATGTAATGCCAAGTGCCTTGGTTACTACTGTCCCAGGCAGCAAAACGTCTTCAGCTGACCCAGTGTACTAATGAAGAATAGGGAAAGCAATAAATTATGCAGTAGTTAAACATTATTGTGAGATAACATTGCACAGCATTATTTGGACATTTCTCTATGGCTGGCCTTGAGATGGGGGAGTTAGATGGTCAGGCCAGCCAGGGTGCTGAGCAGAGGAGCCAAGATGATTTCAGTGATGTGTTTTTTAAAAAGTATTGTCTGCAGTGAATTGCCAAAATATAAAAGCAGCTGCAAAGTAAGAAATATTAAAGGCAAACATTGTACTGTACTGCTTCAGAGTTAGGTAGTCCCTTGCCACTAGTCAGAAGCATTAGTTTGTGCAACATGTAGCCAAGTGGGTGAGAATTTTGAACAAATGTGTTGCCATTGAATCACTCAGATCATGGCTCTCAATGGATGACAGAGGCTTTGCTGGGATGCTAGAACTGGAGCAAAAATGCACTTAAAGCAGAATAGCATCTGAGAAGGAGATCGCTCTGAGTCCTTTTCTGTAGACATTGCTGGGGAAGGCCTGGGAGGAGCAGGACCTCTTATGGTGCAATTTTATGCAAACCCATAACAACCACATCACTTGGTATCACTGGAAAGCTGCAAACCCGCACAGAAGTGGGGGCAGTTTGCCACAAGTCTCTCCCAAAGGGAGCGCGCACCCCCCACACACAGATATTAAAGTATTATTGGGAATAGGAAAACTGAAAACTGAAATACATAATAGTAACATGGAAAAGAAACTTCAGGTGTTTTTATGATAAGCTCTGTTCTCCAAAATAGGGGTTCGATCCTCTCCCATCTACACCATGGACAATGATGTGCCACAGGAAGTGGACTACATGCTCCAACTTCTTTGAATGACTCACATCAGTGCAATATTTTAGACTTTTTGTGGGGTTTTTTTTAAAGGAAGCAGTAAAAGAACATTTCATACCTTCATTGCAACATAGAAACCTTTGCCTGCTAACCTCGCTGTGAAAAAAGAACAGAGATACTACCAGTGGGCCAATGCTGATGTTGAAAGTTTTCTCATCCTCCAGGCAGTGAGGGAATGATTGGGACATTTCCTGGCAATGTAATAAAGTCAGCCTCTTAAGCTTTCTGGCCAAGAGGTAAGAAAGCCCCAGAGAAAGAGATCACTGAAGAGAGACCACCATACCCTTAGGCCACATCTTTTTCGCTGAATCTGCCAACGGTGAGTAGCAGTGGGACTGGATAGAAATGTATGAGTCAGCATGAGGAAAAACAACAGAGTGTGGAGTTGCCTCAGGCAGTAGATTTCGGACATCAAGAATTAGTTGTACTAAGTGTTAATTCTTTGACTTGTTATCATATTTTACTGCTGGTATGGAGAGATTAAGTACCTGTGGGATTTTCTGCTGTATGTGTCCACTTAACTAGGTAGGCTAGCCTTTGGTATTACAGACGGTGAATGCGGTAGGAGAGACGCCACTTGCAGCTCCATCTTAGGGACCAACGTATTTTGGGCCTGCCCTGAAGAAGGTATGAACATGAAGATGGGGAAAGGACAGGCATCATCTCTCATGATTAACAAATCATTATATATGTATGGAATTATCTTGTATTTTTTGGACTTAGGGGACAGCCGCCTTCATTCTGGACCCTCTCAGAGCTTTGCTCAGTACCAAGACACTTTGAAGTATGTCAGAGGCTGGAATGCTACTGCAGAAATTCCTCCGGGGACATCCCATAGTTTTTGGGGTAAGCACTGCACATGGGAAGTTCAGCAGCTCAAGCAGGCAGACAACTCTTTCTAGCACAGCTGATCTGTATTAAAATTCCATGGCCTAATATCATAGATGGCACATCTGACAGATAGCTCTGAGGGTGCAGCTTGAATGGCCTGGCCTGTGGATCTGGCTCACTTTTGTCCAAGCCCCCTCCCCATTTAGGGCCAGATTTAGACATACTGAGGTCTGAAGACACGGCAAGCCTAGGAGGCAACACAGCATTGTCAAAATCTGTATTTCTAACACAATAATTGCCTGCCCTAAAATTTAAAATTGAAGGAAAGAAAGAAAGAAAGAAAGAAAGAAAGAAAGAAAGAAAGAAAGAAAGAAAGAAAGAAAGAAAGAAAGAAAGAAAGAAAGAAAGAAGTTTTGGATCATCATCATCATCATCATCATCATCATCATCATCATCATCATCATCATGATGCAGTATTTAAAGTCACCTCATGATCTAAAGCCCTAAACTGTCACTTATACAGTTTGTGCATAAATCTGGCACTAACCCATCCCATTTGGCAACTACAGACGGGGCATGTGCAGTCATAGCCCACCTTGTTTCCTTAGCATATGCAGTATTTAAAGTCACCTCATGATTTAAAGCCCTAAACTGTCACTTACCCAGTTTGTGCATAAATCAGGCACTGACCCATCCCATTTGGCAACTACGGACGGGGCATGCGCAGTCATAGCCCACCTTGTTTCCTTAGCATTGAGCTCCTTTAAGAATGCCATCCTTCTCTCTCCTCTGTGCAGGCTCTTTTGATGCTGATTGGGCTGTTCCAGGTGGCCTTTGGAATCGTCTTGTTCTTCTTCCCTTGTGTCTACAGGGATGAACTGGGCACCCATTTCTATTCAGCCGCACTGGTGAGTCAACACCATCTGCCTTCTTAGCCCTTCCATACTACTCCTGGGCTAAAGCCAGTGTGATGTAGTTATTAACATGGATTCGGTTGTGCAATTTCTTGACCAGTCCTTTAAGAGAAACCAAAGAAAATATTATTTTCTTTCTTTCTTTTTAAGTGATACAGCACATCAGTGATGGTCTGTGACAGTCTTTTTTTAAAAATCACTTCTCTCGCTCCTCTACTAAGGAGCAGAGGAAGTGTTCAATTTGCTGATACTCCTGAAGGGGCTCACTTATTAAGCTGCCTCATGATACTGGAAGTTCCAACCGGAAGGCACCTTGACAGCTGAGAAGGCTCACTTTTAGTTTATTCCCAGTGATCATACACATTGGAAATGGACTAAACCAGAGCAACAATAGCTGCACAAAAAAACAAAAAAATACATGGAAGCCCCTGGCAGGTGCTCAAAAAAGTGCAAGTTAGGATTGCTCTGGATACAGAGTTTGGTTTGCTGCAGTGACTGCGTTGTGTGATCACTGTGAAAAAGAGCAAACCAACCCTACACTTCAGCAGAGCAAACAGGGGCAAAAATATCTGTCTGATCGAGCCCTCAGTTGCAATGGATTATTCCACGCCCCCACCCCAGTCTGTTTGCTACGTGGCAAGCAAGGAGGGAGGGGGCTATGGCTCTGTTGTGAAGGCCACATGAACCATATCTGCACCCTTGATACGTACAAGTGAATTGATAAAGATCCTAGATAGGCAAAAGGGTATTCTGCAGGTTAGTGTACTTTAAGAGTATATGCTGTGGCTTTTTAAAAAGCATACCGTATTTGCTGTGGTTTTTTTTAAAGCAACTGTAGCTTTTAAAAAAAACTGTGTTTCAGGAGTTCAAACACTTGGAATGAACAGAAGATGCGAAATCAAAACATGTGAACTGTAAATGGGATTGAATGGCAGTTAAGCAGAGACTCGAATGAGGTCTGTTTTAGACAAGGAGAATTGCCTATATTTAATCCAGTATAGCCCCGCATCAAGTATCTGTTAACACAATGTAGAATTGTTAAAGCATGATACAATTGTGGATATTCTGGATTGTTTGAAGGTAGGCTGGCATAGCTGGGAACTAGAGTTGGGACAAAATGGTAACTCAAACTTTGTGTTGTGGGACTAGAGCGAAGACTAATAGGTGATAATAGATTCACTGTGTGTGATTTTGTGTGCATTTGTTGAATCTCCCCCTCTCCCCCATTCAGCTGATCCTGGCAGGCATCCTCACCCTTGCAGCAGATAAAGCCAACAGCTTATGTCTGGTAAGACTACAGGAGAAGAGCTTAATCTCCCTCCCTTTAGATGAGGATCATGTGACCCATAGGCAGCATGTGGCTCCAAGGAGCCCATGTGGGACCCCAGCACTCCGAGCCTCTCCCCCCACCCGGATCCCCACCCCAATATTTAAAAAAATACGACAGGGAAATTTTGGCTCAAATCAGGCAGTATGTGTGTGGGAGGCATAATTATGTGATGCTCTGAGGGAATGTGTCGTTGGGCTCTCCCAAGGGCTCTGAGCTTGAAAGATTTAGGAAGAAGTGTCCAGATTTTTGAAAGTTCATATTTTAAAGGAGCCAAACAAAATTGTAGGTTTACTTGCACCCCTTGTAACAAATCATCGCCACTGTGTGGCAGTGCTGCTTCATCCATTCTCGGTAACATCAGGCGGCAGCAGGCTCACTCAAGTGCTGGCCTGAGGAACTTCACCCGGGCTCTGGTATAGGGAGGAAGTCAAAACAGATGATGGTAGCATAATTATAAAAGGAAAAGCCATAATGGTTCTCTTTCAGGTGAAAGCCTGCCTTGTCATATATATTGTCTGCGTAATCGTGGTGGCAGTGATCAACATTTTCTACCTGATAGATTTACTGTATGACCCCGTTAACAGGAATATCAGATGTTCTAGAACAGATCCTTTTTGTGAAATGCTGCATCAGATTGCGGTGAGTACCTCTTAGTGTCAAGGTCAGTTGATATTTGGAAACCACTTTGGAACAGATAAAGACAATCATGCTGGGAAAGATTGAAGGCAGCAGGAAAAGAGGATCAGATATGAAATGGATTGACTCCCTAAAAGAGAGCCACAGGCTTAGGTTTGCAAGAGCTGGGTAGGGCTGTTGAGGACAGGACATTTTGGAGATCGCTCATTCATAGGGTCACCATAAGTCAGAGGTGAATTGACAGCACACGACGACGACAACAAATGAAATTGCAATTTGGGTTCGTATACATATATTTGTAGATATGCTATATGCCAGACCTGACGCAGAATTCTGCGGAAATTTCTTGAGACCTTTTTAGTATCAGTATGGCCACTGGGCAAGATATATTTTTATTTAAACTGCTAGGGCTTCAATAGTCTTAAAATATATGGGAGATGTGTAAGTCAACGGGCTTTAGAATCCATCCGTCAGTAAGTTTGTTCTGATTTGGAGGGAGGAGGATGGGTTGCTGTTTTTGCCCTCTGAGCAGAGAGCCATCTACTCACCATCTCAATCGGAGTCTCATGCTCTGTTTTTCAGGTTTGTTGTGCAGGCGTACGTGGCATTGTCCTAGTTTTAACTTCTCTCGGATTCTTTATTGGTGTCTCTATGGCAGCCTTCGGATGCAAAGCTGTGTGTCGCCAGAGCTTAGAGGACGATAATGTGGTAATTTGTTAGTCTATATTATGGGGGGACAGAGCTTATATAACACAGTGAGTTGGACCATCTGGAGCCAGAGTGGGAGTTCCAATCCTCACTGTGCCTCCCAATGGAGGGGCGGCCAAGATCACCTGGAGTGTATTTGGCGGATGGAAGGTATGTCTGTTGCCACCTGTAAGGCTTTCAGCAAACTGCATGGTCCAAGAAGACACCAGAAGGAACAACTCGTAAACTACTTCTGCATACTCTGTTCCTAGACAATTCCAGGTTGGATGAGTAAAAAATGACTTGATGGCACTCAGTCAGTCTGTCAATCGATTGTGGGATGACGGTGACAAGAGGTGAGGGGAAGAGCAAGGTCAAGGACTAGGGAAAAGAAGCACATGGGTGAAGTTAGAGATATAGTTTGGCCACTTCCACCCTACCCGTAAGTCCACCAAGGCATGCCCTAGATGAGACCTAAATATTTCTCCTTGTGTTCTACCAAACCCAGCCTTCTATAAATTAAACCATTAGATTTAGGTCTACTGTTTTAAGACAAGTCTTCATCCTTCACTGAACAGTAGATAGCCCTTTCTGCATTTATACACTTCCGAAATATTCCTCTATCAGTTTCTATTATTCTACTTAAACATTTCTTGTTGATTCATCTTGAGATGATAGGACTTGTTTTCTATAATTTTGGCATTTTTGTTGCCTTCTTCCAGGTTGTCTACATCTGCTTCACATAGTCTACAAAATTAGACACAGTACCACAATTTGTCAAGGATATGAGCCGATGGCATATATTGCAGATGTTTTCTTAGTTTATTCCAAGGTTTGTTTATTTTACTTTTTATTTTTGCAGATTCAACACTAAAAAACAAACAAAATTAAATTGAACTAGCAAAGAAAGAGGATGAAAAAACAGAGCAAAAAAGACTAAATACAATATTAGTACTAACTATAAACCACCATTATAAATTTACAATATAGTTGTAACCCTTGCTATATACATCTTATATTATGCATATAAATCAGTGTAGGCTTCCCAGATTTCCAAGTTAATGTTCTAATTAAATTACTTATTTATAATATTTTTAACCCACCTGTCTCCGAAAAAAGGAACCAAGGCAGCTTACAAAGCTTACAACAGTTAAAAGACAGTATTTAAGTTCGTAACAATGAGTATACAATACTAAAAGTATCAGTGAATACTTAACCAAAAAAACATAAGGAAATCCAAAATGCATTCAATCCACTAAGGTGGAACAGCCCATTTAAAAAGCCCATCTTGGCAGCCATTCACTCAGGGAAAGCTTGCCTGAGAAGAAAGGTGCCTGCTTGCGGAAGGACAACAAAGATGGGGCCAGTCTGGCCTCCTGTGGAAGAGAGTTCTAGAATCTGGGAGCAACAACAGAGAAGGCCCTCTCCCATGTCCCCACCAAATAAATTGATTCGTCAAGTGGGACTGAGGGGAAGGCCTCTCCTGATGAGAATGTCAGTACGATAGTTGTTCAAATGAAGCTAATGCTAACAGATCCTCCAACCATTGTGCAGTGGATGGTGAATGTTTATCCTTCCAAATGTAGAGTATAAGCTTCCTAGCCACCATAAGGGCTTGTAAAGTCTAGTTTTTATGACCACTTGTAGACCGCAAAGGACATGAAAATAATTTAGCATTAATAACCAGAAATAACAAAGATTTCCCCAACACTGCATTAATACATGACAACTTCAATCCAAAATAAATGTATTACTGGGCAAGCCCAGACCATATATGTTAGCATATGTTTCCAGTATTACAACTCCAACATCTGTTAGAGTTCAATAGTCCCTTCCTAAACAACCATTATGGTGTCCAATATACCCTATATACTGTTTTTGTTGTTGTTGTTGGCTCAACCTCAATTTCAAGTCTAAGGAAACATCCTGTAAAGATCCTAATTCAATTTCCCATTGTTTCAATCACACTTTTTAACCTTCTAATTCTCCATTTCATATCTACCTTATAAAGATCCGTTAAGCATTGATATACCATGGTTATTTGCTTGGAATAATTCCCTCCAACAATTTAGGAGATTCTGAAGCACTCAGTGCAGCTGGCCCAAAGACAAACACCAACAAATGCTGACGCTGGAGATATTGCCATTCTGCACTCATAGGTTGATGATATTTAGCTTGTACTGTGGAAAAATTAGACATTCATTGTATAAATGTATCAATTGGTCTAAAGTATATACTGTATACCACATTCCACCTGCTTTTTCTGCAAAAAGGGCTTTCTTTCTATCTTCCAATCTGAATTTCCTCATAAAGTTATTTTATCATGGACATAAGTGTAGCTGACAAACCAGTATACTAGTGATGGGCACAACTTAGAAAAATGGTGATTCATTTTGATTTGTGATTCGTCAAGGTTGATGAATAACAAATTAGGAATTTACAATTTTTTTCCTGACAAACTGATGAATCAATTTATCAATTTGACTTTAAAACCCTATAAAATCTCCTCCAAGCACCAAGAGACACCAAATTTGTGAGGAAGCTTCCCCTGACTCTCCTCTACAATCCCTTCTAGTTTGGTAAATATTGGGTTTCAGACATCCAAGTTATACACCTACAAAGTGCCCAGGAAAATGCCCTTTAGCAGCTGGCTTGGAGAAACCCAACCTTCATGAAGAAGCTATAACTTCATTCTGCACAGAATATTCTAGATGTCCAGCTCCCATCTGTTTCTTAAATTTCTCATAATTCAAAAGCTCAATATTTAGATGCCATCAGCCAGTTTCTGGCCATGTCAGTTAGTTTCATGACAAGGGAGCATGGCTTGAAATTTCTATCACATTTATGTGGCATGTTATCACTTATGGAAGTAAAGGAACCTATACCAAAAAATAATCGAACCAAAAGCAATTTTGATGCACCAATCAAAGAAATGTATAATCTAATTCTACAGGATGTTGTACACACCAAACATCCATTAAGCCCAGCTCAGACATATATCTTTTTAGCATTGACTTCACTACGGACTGAGTTCTATGGGGAGGTGAACTCCTATATAAGATAAATTCAAGAATCTCCCCCAGTTATCAAGTGGTTATATGTTATGTCTTTCCATTTGCTCATACATTCATGAAAGATTACAGGAGAGTCCAAATTTGGACCATAAATATTCACAATTGTTATATTCATATTTGAAATTTTTGCTGTTAGACTCTGGATCTACTCCACTTGTAACACTACAAGAGGGGCATTTTAATGTATAAATATTGCTACACCTTTAGAATTCTTATAATGACCACTAATATATACTTCTCCTACCCAATCTTTACACAGACTATTTTCTTCCACAAAATGTCTTTTGCAATCATGCAACATTTTCTTTAATTTGTTTAAGTTTAGAAAGCACCTTTTTCCTTTTTCTAGGGTCATGTAGTCCCTTAATATTCCATGTAAAAAAGTTTAATCCCATTGTTAATATATATCAATATTCCTAGTAACATTATACCCTAGCATATTGTTGTTTAGTCGTTTAGTAGTGTCTGACTCTTCGTGACCCCATGGACCAGAGCATGCCAGGCCCTCCTGTCTTCCACTGCCTCTCGGAGTTTGGACAAATTCATGTTGGTAGCTTCGATGACACTGTCCAACTATCTCGTCCTCTGTCGTCCCCTTCTCCTCTTGCCTTCACACTTTCTCGACATCAGGGTCTTTTCCAGGGAGTCTTCTCCTCTCATGAGATGGCCAAAGTATTGGAGCCTCAGCTTCAAGATCTGTCCTTCCAGTGAGCACTCAGGGTTGATTTCCTTTAGGATGGATAGGTTTGTTCTCCTTGCAGTCCAGGGAACACTCAAGAGTCTCCTCCAGCACCACAATTCAAAAGCATCCATTTTTCGGTGGTCAGTTTTCTTTATGGTCCAACTCTCACTTCAGGAAAAACCATAGCTTTGACTATGCGGACGCTTGTTGGCAAGGTGATGTCTCTGCTTTTTAAGATGCTGTCTAGGTTTGTCATTGCTTTCCTCCCAAGAAGCAGGCGTCTTTTAATTTCGTGGCTGCTGTCGCCATATCCCATCATCAATAATAATAATACTAGTAAAAATAATCAAACCCAACATTTTTTGAAAAAAGAGTCTATTTCTGAATACGCTATGAGAAACATTTCCTTTCCATATCAAAGCCCCAATTTAATAGTAGTTATCTGTAGTCAGCAACTAGTTAGGTCAACAGATACAACAATTATTCTTAGCCTAATGGTGGCACCCACTATATTGTAAAGACCAATAATTTTTTAAAAAATTAAAGGAGAATGAAAGCAACAGCCAAAAGAAAAGCAATTACAAATAAAAATGAAGAAATACCAACAATACCAAAAAAATGAAGTAAAAAAACCAGAGAAGGGCAAAGTAACAATGTAGCCTTCCAGTTCTGGATGGCAGCACAATCGACACACTCCCCAGCCTCTCCCTCCCATTGGCTACCTAATTCTACTATGTATATTGCATACTCGTAATGGGAAGCATGATCACTGGAAAGGAGTTTTCAGACAGACTGTGACATATCAATCAACCTTTGAATCAGACACATAAGAAGAGGGTCGGGTTATGGGGAGGGGGAAATATCTGTTCATGAGAAGTGTCTATATTTCTTTTACAGCCCATTGCTGGATCAAGGCATTTTCCCAGTTCAACTGAAGTAGTCAGAGAGATTCAGTCCTAAGAAGTTTGCTCGTGGATCTGAATCCTAAGCACCTGGAACTGGAAGAACCTCATAACACAGCTGTCCCGACTCGTCCCTTTCCACCTGCTTCACGAATACACGGAGGAATTTTGTGCTTCCCTGTCTTCTGCTAACCTGCTGTTTGCCAAACTCCTGGGCCCAAACATTACATGGTCCCCATGCTGTATTTTTAACATTAACCCGCCTTTCTGAAATGTAAGCTTTGAAAGGCAGGTGAGTGCATTAAACTACGACAGTGCACTTGCAGCTCACAGAAACCCTAGAATTGCTTTACGATGGCCATGTGTAAAGTCAAATGTAATTTCCCTTCTTTGCTTTTAAAGAACTATCTTACAACCGCAAACACTGCATGTAGCACATGAGGCTTTTTTTTGTTTGTTTTCAGGGGGCTTGTGTGTGTGTGGGTCTCCTCATTTTATTTCCTGTCCTAACATGCTTTGATGTAGCCAGAGGTCTTTTGCAGAAAGCACAATACTAACCTATTTAAAATGCTGTCCTATGCAGTTTTACTCAGAGGTGAACAATAAATAAATAAAATCAAAAGGCTGCTGTTGCCGCAACACAACAAAGGGTTTTCCAATAGGAGTATTAGCTGTGTTAGTCTGTTGCAGCAACACAACAAAGGGTTTTCCAATAGGAGTATTAAATAAAATACATTGCTTCTGGCTTCAGCTAAAGCAGATACTCTCTAGTAACCAGCACTCTTTGTCTGGAGGGGAGTTGACTTGTGTGACTGTCCTTACTATTGCCTGGATATTTATTCTAACCAATCCTTAGGAAGTTTATGACCGGTATCAATGAAGACAGCTGTGGTAACAACTAGACTGAAGTCTGTCCCACTGTTTATACTGCAGTTCTCAGGGTTCATATCAATTACGCAATGTACACCTAATCATGAGCAGACCTATGTTTTTCCACCATTATTATTTGGAACCCATTGTTCCTTTGGTAGAACATTTGTTTGTTTGTTTGTTAGAATTTCTGCTCATTTTTTCTTCTTCTCCCTTTCTGGCCTGTGATTACCTATATCAGTCCTTTGGAAGAGTGATGAGTATGTCTTTGTTACATTGAGGGTGACATCTTCATTGGCATTTGTGATGACCCAGAATTACTCCTTTCAGCTTGTACCCATGGGATTGGCACTTCTAAAAACAGTTTGGTGTTTTCTAAAATAAAATTTAAAAAAACACAAAAAATAGTCTAGCATTACATTAGTTAAATAATGCAGTGGCATTTCAGGAGTGGCTGTGTTTTGGTCAATTCAGGACTAGGTCTCTGAAAACTGAACAAAAAGGTAGCTGGTAGGGAAGAGAGCTGAAATAATAGCAGAGGAGGATGTAAAGAACTACAGGGGGAAATATACCTATGGTATGTTCACACTAGAGATGCACCTTCCTGGGTTAATTAAACATTTCTGTGTGAATGACAACAATGACTTCAAACAGTAAAAAGTTCCAGGGTATGTTATCGAATATGTCATGTCATCCTGGTACAACCTCCCATCGAGTCGCTCCCTCAGATTTTTTTTTTCCCACTGGATGTCGTTGTGGCCCACTCATAACCAGAACCATGTGCATATGGCTTTTTTGTGGCTTTTTGTACAGGTTTGTTCATTTGTACTCCATGCATCTGAAGAAGCAGACTATACCCGTGAAAACTCTTGCCACATAAAACCTGTTCGTCTTAGAGGCTTCACAAGAATCTTTGGTGATTCAGTAGTAAGTCCCTTATATTTAGTGCTTCCGGTGAGTATAGATAGGTTTTCAAGAGTTTTCTCCATTCTTATCTTAAAACCCAAAGAAACTGTAAATAACATGTAACCTGACATCCTTTTTAAAAAAAATAAAAACTCTTCGACTTCCCTCTTTATTAATATTAATTTAGAAAATCCATTATAAAAATACTTGTGAATATTGTGCATTGTGAACATTGGTTAGTTCTAATAAAATTTTATTTTTCTGCTCCTCTGTTTTTTTAATGTGCTGTAAGATAAAAACCTGTCTTGTGATCTCCTGATTACTGTCTTGTTTATTTTGTTGTTTAAAGAAAGCTTAAAAATAGCACCCAGCCCTTTGAATTTACAATGCAGTGTTATGCACCAAAGAGCCTTCTGACATCTAAGAAATGCATTATGCCATAAGCTTTCATTACCATTTTCCAAGAAGAATCTTTAAAGATATATTACAGAGCAAAAGAGCTAAAAATGTTATACCAAGATATTCAACTGTCTTCACGCTGCATATGCAATTCTGTGTCCCAGTGCCAGGATCAGAACTTGGAAGTAATGAATTACAAGTAATGCGGTCACTTGTAATGAATTACATGTGGGAAGTGGGACAAGATTACATTTAAAATATAATATATGAAATGGGCACAGAGTTGCTTTGTTGATATAGTAAGCCGCATTTTCTACTTGTTAAAGGGTGTTTTTGAAAACATGTTGACAGTAATTTTTCATGTTTTATGTAATTCTTTTATCAATTCTAAGCCCCCCCTCTCCCACACAAAAAACAAGTTATGCAATATGTTATGTAGTGCATTAATTTCACTGAGTAACAAGAATGCATTCCTTTTTTAAAATAAATTTTGCAAGCTCTAACAAGATGCTTTTGATCTCACACATCAACTGCTTTATAAATGGCCACCATTAATAAGGTTCCGTAAATCCTGCTTCTTCCACCCAACCATGAGTATATGGTTTTGCTATATTAAAGATAATGCTTCATGCATTTGGTGTGCTGGCGCTCTACTATCATGCAGTAATGGGTATGCCCATCATGATAAGAAAAGAATGTCTCCCATTCTGAATCTTCTGCAACAAAAGTAAATGTGACCAGTGTCACAACTTAACAGTACTACATTTATTGCCACAGTAATGTTGCAAATGTCTCTATCAATTTCCAAGCCATCCAGCAAGATCTCTCAGGACTCTTGATTTCTGTCTGGAAAATTCCATTTATGAATGATATCCTGCTTTTGCTTTTCTTGTTGCTTTGAGGTTACATGTGAAGGAAATAACAGTACAAGTTGCACACCATTTGTTACTGACAGGAAGTTTGAAAACTCAATCCCAGATGACTTTTTTAAAATTATGTCAACAAGAGCCATCACTGAGGACATTTCAACTATGGAATCCTAAATGATGTACTTATTTACATGTACATGTTGTAGTAGAATTGTCAATTATGTGGAAAAAGCTTCACCCACCCTGGAAAAATTCCTGTGGACCACCTGTTTGGCTCAAACCAACATTTTGCTACATTTTCCCCCAGTGAAACTAGGAGAACCAAGTGGGAGGGAGCATGTCCCAAAATCTCATGGGTTGCTCCCATCCAAATCATGAGCCATCTATGACTAAAATGTACTTGCACGCAAGTTTACGCTACAGCATTTGGGGCTCTTTAGTTTAGACTCCAGAGAAAAGGTGCCTGAGGGGGGGGTACATGACTGAGACATATTAAATTAAGCAGAGGATGGATAAAGTGGATAGAGGGACACTCTTTTCCCTCTCACACAAGACTAGAATCAGGGGACATCCACTCAAATTCAGTGCTGGGAGAGAGAACAGATGAAAGAAAAAATTTCTTGACCCACCGTGTTGTTAGTCTGTGGAACTCCTTGCACAGGATGTGGTGATGGCATCTGGCCTAGATGCCTTTTAAAAAGGATTGGATAGATTTCTGGAGGAAAAGTCCATCTCCAGGCTTAAAAGGAAGGTACTTCAAAGTGCCAGATGAAGAGGAGGGGTATCAGGAGACAGGTATCTAGTCGTCTCGTGTGCTCCCAGAGGCATCTGGTGGGGCCACCGTGAGATAAAGGGAGCTGGACTAGGTGGGCCCTTGGCCTGATCCAACAGGGCTCTCCTTATGTTCTTATGACCAGCCAGAGGCAGAAATGCTGCCTGTGCCCACAAACTATTTTGGGGGCCTCCAAGGCACACATTCCCATCACCACTCCTGGAGTTCAAGTCCACCAACAGAGGAGTCGCTCCATTCCATCTTGACCCCTGCCACCAGCAGCCAAATGATCTAAGGCCACTTCACTTCAACGTATTTCCTTTCCTTAAAAAAAAAAACCTTTGTAAAACTCTCAATTTTTAAAAAATAGATTAACTTAAATATTTTTAAAAGCTAACCTTTCTATTGTTATGCAATCATTTGCCTGTTTATTCTAAAATCAATATCAGATGCACCTTACTCTCTATGTTACAGTATAACAGAAGAGGAAGTTGCTTAATCAATGTCTTCATTTTAATGTTTGGAACCTGGGGAATAATGTAATCACCATCTAGATAACAGGGATTATAAAGCTCAATTAATAATATGTGTATGAAGTGCTCTTAGCTGGATTACCGCTTGTTCCAGCTATGTTAAGGTTATTGATTTCCATTATTCTGTCATCTTTCCACCTAATGTGCAGATTGTTTTTGCAATGATATATATTGCACTTGGAGGCATTTTGTTCTTTTCTTCAAAAGAATTTATGTCCCTCACCATGACTGTCTCCCTTTTGGAGCGGGTGGGCTTGTAAGTAGAATAAATCGAATTATTGCTGACCTGTAGCCATCATGTAATTGTGAGCAAACATGATTTACTGAAGAGAGGTTTGATGTGGACCAGTGTGTCCTGACAGGGTAATTCTAGTCAATTCTTAATCTGTAAAATGGAAATAATAATGCTCCACTTCACAATGTCATTGTAAGAATGGATGAGAAAATTGTAGCAACACGCTTTGAAACTATAACACTATTAAATAGATGGTATTGTGACACATTAACCTTCTGACACACAGAGTCTTGTAGCACATTAAATGCTAGGAAATTCATTACAGCATAAACTTTAATAGATTGCAGCCCTATTCATCAGATTTTAACTTGCATGCTACAGAAGGCTGTGATAAATTTTTTACTCTTTGAGGTACCATAACCTCTTAGCCTGTTCTCGATAAACATTTTATTTGCTCGTACTGTATTTTTTAAAAAGAGTCTCAGGGTCAAACTATACAATTCTGCTAATCGTTGTTACAATTCATAAACTAGAATAAATAAGTGGGGACTTTAAATGTGTGATTTATTTGTTTATTTACTTGATTTAATTTATTTCTTGGTTGTCTACTTTCCCTCTACAGTTCTTCATTTCTGGAAACCTTGCATCAAAAACAAATTGAGGGTATAGTAGATATTTTAAATGCTGATTTTAAAAACCCCGTTTCTCAAGACACTGATTACTAGGAGCACTTCTGTGCAGATATACGTATAAGAGTTCCAGAAATTCTGAAGCCGTGGGGATTGGGGAAACTAAAGAATGAAATAGCATTACTTACCTACTTATCACTCTTAAACCTATTATACTGTTTCATTCAGAACTTAGCAGAGAAAATTCCATTGTTTGACATATTTATTAAATTTAAAAATATATAAGCCCACATTTTGTACAAACCAAATTATAAATATATCTTATACTTAAGAAAGTGATATAAACTGCTTAACTCTCTGATACTTTAGTGTTAATGTTCTGAGAAGTAGAAAAAGAAAACCTACGAATTTTGTCATAAACAAAATTAATACAGTAGTCATATTTTGGCAT